TGGCCCTTAAGCTTTCGGCTCGCCGTCAACCCTCGCCGGGACTCTTATTTCTTTTTTCCTACTACCGGCGGCCAAGGTCCGGTCTTTCAATTCGGTCTTTCTTCACCCGTGTGTGTTTGCGGCGGAGGCGGCGATAGCGATGGGCGCCGCGCGGGGAGGAGCAGGAGCAGGAGAGGGAGTGCGGCGGCGAGCGGTACCCGTCGTGGTACGTGAGCCGGGAGGAGATCGAGCGCGGCTCGCCGTCGCGGCGGGACGGCGTCAGCGCGGCCAAGGAGGCCGAGCTCCGGGCCACCTACTGCTCCTTCATCCGCGACGTCTGCATCAGGCTCCAATTGTGAGTGATCGATCGGCCTCTCCTCTCCCCCCTTTTTCCCAATCGCGGTTTGGTCGCTGGTTGTGGTTGGTTGGCTGCGTTCGGTTCAATCTGCTATTGGTAGTTTAGAACTTTATTAGATGATATTATTATGCCGATGACAGCCGCATTGCATTGTGCTCTGCTCTGTCGGTCTTTCACTGACCAAAGAGGCCCTCTTTCTGCCGTTGCAGGCCGCAGATTACAATCGCCACGGCGATCATGCTCTGCCACCGCTTCTACCTCCGCCAGTCTCACGCTAAGAACGAGTGGCAGGTAAGATATGCGCAGTATAATTATATAATGCATGCCTACTTACTTGCCTGTTGCCCTCGTGGCAGCGTTTTATATGCATCCTGCACATTGGTCTCTGGAGTAAACAAGCACTGTTAATTATTGTTCCTTTGCTTTATGAACATAGGGTATACTGTAACCACTCGGCAAAGCCGCAAAGAGGGGTGATTTTCAACACCCCCTGTATATGCATGACCTGATTTATGTAGATTACGATTGGTAGAGAATGTATAGCACTTGCCTTATCTGAATCCACCAATTCAGGGGTCAAACCGTTATTTTATCACTAATGAATTATGACCATTCATCCTTAAGCTATTTGCTTGCCATATATAATGTATATATAAGTACATCCTTAAACGATTGGAGTAACCGAAGGAGCAATTTTAATATATTTTTTCATATATAAGAAGCTTGACCTTCGCTGCAATAGCTTTCACATTTCAGTAAAATGAATCCTGTACTTGCCTATTATTTTCCAGCAGAGCCCCTAACTAACTTTTTCCCTTCATTTTCACGGAGAGATTAACTAATTTCTTTTTCTTGTGTAGATACTTTGAAAACATTTTTCGTTATGGCTATCACACCCTAACATTACCTGACTATGTACCTTTGGTGGGGGTTAGTCGAGGGTAGTGTGTGTCATAAGAAAAACACACAAGTGTGGGTCTACAGATATATTCAAGGTGGCTTCATGTAAAATATGTCCACATGTGTGTACTTCACTCAGGTACACATTAAATGGTGTACTGGTCGCTCGGGTGGTATAAACTGCCATGATGCTTCTTTTTTTTAAAAAGAAAAGAAAAGAAAAGCTGAAACATGAGTTTGTAATCGATCCTGAGGAGTCGAGCAGTTTCACCTTCACAAATAAGGGGTCTGGTTGTGAGTTTTAGTTAAAGCAATTTACCCGGAGCACCTAAATTGCAATCATGGACGAAGGTGTGGTTCTTTTGGAGCAACTTTATCGAACTTGAAGCAGCACTTTCTAATAATACTCGTATCAGTAAGTATTAGCAACTTGTTGTACTACTATCTAATTACTTCGTAGTAAACTGTATCGAATTTAGGCTCTACATATTATTCTTTGGCCCATGAATATATCTCCCCTAAAATACTGCACGCACTTGAGTGCTCTATTTTCAGCAATACAATTTTTTACCATTTCCTCCATTCTCTTGGTTTGCTAACAGTTGAAGATTATTTACCAACCCTCTGTGTTTTTCAGACTGTTGCAACTGTTTGTGTATTTCTTGCTTCAAAGATGGAAGACACACCTTGCTTATTAAAACACGTGGTCATTGTGGCATATGAAACAATGTACCAGAAAAACCCTGATGCTGCTAAGAGAATCCACCAGGAGGTATCTAATTTTCTCCTTGACACTTGGCCTGTTTGCTTTTCTGATGTTTGATTGACTTATTTACTGTGCAACTTTTGTTTCCAATGAGAAGCAGGAAGTTCTTGCAAAGCAGAAAGCGCTGATTTTGGTGGGGGAGACACTATTGCTTTCAACCATTAGGTTTGATTTCAATATACAGCATCCTTATGAACCACTAAAGTTCGCTCTGAAGAAACTGGGGATCGTCCATAAGGAACTGAGACAATCTGCCATGAGTCTCATTAATGATACGTAAGTTATTTGAGCTATTCTGTTAAACATTCTTCTTGGAATTGGCAATCTTGTTTTTTTCTCCCCTCTGAGTTGGTTCGACACTTATACATGCAGGCTTCCGACTACTTTAGTTGTGCAGTTCAAACCACACTACATAGCTGCTGGATCACTATGCCTTGCTGCCAAATTTCACAACGTTGATCTTTCCCAGAATGAGATAATATGGTGGCATGTGTTCGATGTTGCTCTAGATCCGTTGAAAGGTACTCAGCAGATGAAGTTATTTTCTTTTTATCATTCACTGAGCTATATCAGTTAAGTATTCTCACTACCATCACTTTCCTGTCATGTCTGACAATCAAATACATCTGCAGTTGTTGTGCAGCAAATGTTTCAGTTATTTAAGAAAAGAGCCCCATGCTCCATGGGTCCTGTTATCAAGCCAGTACCAACTTCAAGTGTAATGGATAAACATCAGATCAAGCCGACTCCAACTCCAGCTCCAATGGATAAGCATCAGATCAAGCAGATTCCAACTCCAGCTCCAATGTATAGACATCAGATCAAGCTGATTCCAACTCCAATGGATAAACAACAGAGCAATCTAGCTCCAACTCCGATGGATAAACAGCAGATCAAGCTGGCTGCAGCTCCAGCGCCAATGTATAGACATCAGATCAAGCCGATTCCAACTCCAATGGAAAAACAGCAGAGCAATCTAGCTCCAACTCCAATGGATAAACAGCAGATGAAGCCAGCTCCAACTCTGATGGATAAACAGCAGATCAAGCTGGATACAGCTCCAGTTCCGACGGATAGACGGCGGATAGTAAGCGCCCCAGTTCCTGCTCTGAGGCACACACAATCTTCAAGGAGAAGTTTTAGCAATAGCAATACAGAAGCTTCTAGTTGTGTGACTACTAGCAGTTCATTTAACAAGAATTCCACAGGCAGGTCACCAAGGAATGAAGGGAATTGGTACCGAGGAAAGAATGAAGAGAATCTGTATTGGCGAAGACACATAAATCATAACTTGGAGCAGAGGTTAGAAGAACGGTCTAATCAGAGAACTCTGAAGTCTGATCTTGCTTACCTTGTTCGTAGTGGGCCAAAGGATACAAATGCAACAGAGATCAAGAATCTGACCAGACAGAAGAGAAGAATTCAAGAGATTGGAGGGCTCCCAACTCCAGTTTATATGTCTGATACAAACGCTTGGAGGCAAGGTAGTGGTGTAATTGTTTTTGAAACAACTTCATCTCGGCAGAAACAGAAGATCGAGAGAAGATGAGCCATAGGAGTTGCCATTTTTTGTTGGTATATACAGAGACTCGGGTCTCTACTAGACTGCTACTTTGAGATAAAGGTATCTAATGTGGACGGGTCTGTAAATTAAGTTACTCGTGCACATCAAATGCACCCAGCTTGCACTGAAATGCCATATTATCTCCATGTACAAGGCTATTTAGTCTTATAGAAACGAATGGATAGTGATGGAGATAGCTGATTTTGGGCACCTAGTGTCATCTTTTATTTTAGACTGAGCTGTGTGGCTCAAACAAATTTTGTAGTGTATATATAATTTTGTAGCAATGTCCATGTGTATATTAGGTCGGTGTTCTAATTCTGTTTACATTTTCTCAGATCGTCCAATGCTATGTACACTGTGGTTGTCTTTCCTGCGAGTTCTCACTTCTCAGTTGGTATTTTTGGTTTATCCTTTTAGTGCCTCAGTGAAAATTGCTATCCGTTTGAAACTTCTCATGTTCAACGAGGAGATTGATAGTGTTTTGGCCGTCGACATAATTACCAACTTAGTCAACTCAAAACATAGAGCTAGGGAATAGTGTTGTGGACATGCAGATGTAATATGCTTTAGAGAGCCTGATTTATACAGAAAGAACAGGCAGATTTTGTACAGCCTGATGGCATAGTGTTAGCCATTGTTGTATTATATACAAGAACTGGGCTATGTAGCTAATGATATCTTGACACCAGAGCCTTTGATGACATATTAAACAAGAGTGGGCTCTTCGACGTAGCTTCTAATAGACATTGTTGAACAGCTGCATTATTGGCCTTCATGCTGAAAGGTGGTGGGTGCCTTTGTTTGCTTCGTCAATGCTTTGGCTCGCGATTGGAAAGACCAGTGCCTTTCTGTAAAAAAATACTATCGATGCACCCGGAGACGGCATACAACAGCTTAAACAAACAGCTAGAGAGAATCCTTTCTGAGTACGCCAATTCAGCAGCACACATAGTCCCAACTATAGTCCCAACTGGAAACATCAGCCGAACACCTAAAAGCACGCCGTACTCCGGGCCGGAGATGGCCGGCCGTCCACCTCGATGATCGATTATGTACATGTATTATCCTAATAATTACTACATTCAGCAAAACCAGCATTCTTCACCATGCATTGCATAGAACATCAATGCCCTAGTGTGCCAAATACAAATTAGTTCTAAGACTTCAAGTGCTCTCATGACAACACATATTCAGTGCTTGCAAACTAAAAAAATTATATTTCAAATCGAAGATGATAAACCTTTATTCAAGCATCGTTTCCACGATTCAAATTATGCCATATCTGAATACCAGATGCTGAGACTACGAGTTTGTGGTTCTACCAGAGGACCCTATTCAGCAAAAACTGCTGCATATAGCTTTTTTTTTAGAGTTTTCATCACTATGTCGCCAACAGCAATCGATCACGAACACTTGCGCACGAAAAAAAATTAATCGAACACCTCTAGCGCCTCGTACTCCGGGCCAGAGATGGCATCTGCCACGATGGCTGCCGGCGTTAGCTCGCCATCCGCCTCCAGGAAGAGTCTCACCAGGTTCTTGGAGTAGCCGCTCACCAGGGCCGTGCCCTCTTGCGCTGCCACCACCGGCGTGGACGCCTTGGAGGTCCCCACGTTCCAGAACACCAGCTGCGGCACCGTGAACCCCTCGGCTGCGAACTTGTCGCAGATGCCCTGGTACTCTGTCTTCCACGGGGACGCGGTGCCCGTCCACCCGTCGAAGTCCATGTCGCTCAGCACAAACACCCTCTTCACCATCATGTCCCTGCACAGCCCGCCGGCCACCGCCAGCTGCAGGATCTTGCTGAAGACGCCCTGCAGGTTCGCGCCCTTCTTATGCTTCCCCATGGACTCCACCAGCGGCCGCAGCTTCTCCTTGAGGCTCGTGCCGAGCACCTTGTGCAGCTGGTGCGTCTCGTTGAAGGTGATCACGCGCCCCTTCCACGACTCCTGGTTGAGCTCAGAGATGAGGAGCCCCAGTGCGATGGCTGCAGAGGCCGCCGTGTCCGTGGCGGCAGAGGTGGCGCCGGAGAGCCCGCACACCGCGATGCAGTTGGCCAGGCGCCCCTCAGCGGCTAGAGAGGCCGCCATGCGACGCCACTGGAGCTCGGCAGCCTCGTCGTGCTCCCCCTTAAGCGCTGTGGTGATCAGCTCGTGCGGCAGCACCGCGTCCGCGGGCATCCTGGCGCGACCGGTGCGCAGGCGGAGCCAGGATTTCACAGCTGGATATTCCGCGTAAAAAAAAATTCAATGTAAATGTGCAATAGTAATAATCAAAATACAAGATCTGAACATAGTAGCATAGTGCCATTGTCTATAATAATTAAAAAAGATTAGAAAACATCAAAAGCTCAAAACTACTAAAATTGAACTCTACGATCCTCTTTTTAGAATTCATTAATGATATCATCATCTTTCGACTGAAGAATTCTCTCTCAATAAATGTGACCAAGCAATTGTTCAAAATATTCATCACCCATTTTATTCATTTGCGTGTTCTTTACATAATTCATGGTGGAAAACACTCTCCCAACACTAGCCGTGGCTATAGGAAGAATTAGCACCAACTTAAGAAGCTTTTAGACAACATAATACTGCTCATGTCTTTTTGTGCTAACAAGCATGACTGAAAGCTCGCGTAGGTTCTTCAAATTTTTAAACCTTTCGTCTCTACGCACCTAAGAAATGTTCACGTTGAGGTGATATGCAAGTTGGGAAACTGGGAGCGACGGCCAGAAAAACGATGCGACCTTTTTTGTTTGGTGTAAAGGATGTTAACCTTTCTGGCTTACCAACACTGTTTGTTACTTCATCATGTGGTGATTTTTTTTCTTTTCCTCTGGTTTCGATTTGATCCGTGTCAAGTGCTGTACTACGCAGAGCATCCTCTATTTTTGTTGTTGTTGCTGCTCTGTTTCGTCGTCCATGGACCATCATCATGCTTGCCCAGTTGCCAATTGCCATGGTTTGTGGCGGATCTGAAAAGATGCCCGTGTGCATGCAATGCAATGCAAAAGCTCGCATTCAACATCGACGACGACGAGGCGATCTGCCACGTTTTCCGAGGTGGACACGCTTTACTGTCCGTATTGATGAATGCGCGGTGGGTGGCGTCATGGCAAAGATAAAAATCCTACAAGCATGAATGCATGCAGTACCAAGATGAGGTACGGAGCGTGCTGCCTGCCACTAGCTGCTGTAAAAAGAAAAGCTTTTTTTTCTTTTTCGTTCGGCAGAGAGCTGCAGACTTACAGAGGCAGAGCAAAAACTCTCGGTTGAGCAATGCCAATGCATGCATGCCATCAACTTTTTGGTCGTTGGTTGCGACGCGCGACGCAACGCAACAATCGCTGGAGCTGGCGACGCCTTTGCCATCGTGCCACTGCCAAACACAATGTATATGTATTTGTGTTTGTTTGCATAATCTTGGGTATTCCATGTCATTCAGGGGAATACCCCTGGCGCCGCCCATGGTGCGCACCTCGTCGAAGAAGCCAGCCACGCGGTGCTTGTCGTGCTTATGGAACACCTCCTTGTACTTGTTCATCGCCAAGGACGCCACCCGCGCGTACGGCAGCTCTTCAAACTTGCACGCGCACATGTACACCTCCGGGAGCTCGAGCGCCTTGCGCAGCGGCACCAACACCTCGCGGCGGAGCCGGTCACGGACGCGGTAAGCATAGTGCTTGTCCGAGATGTCGAGGTACTCCTGGCTGGACTCGCGCGGGAATATGCGGCGGGCTATGGCCTCGCAGAGCAGGGTCGCACGGTCCTAGGACGAGCGGAGCGACGGGCACCACTTGGCCGCGAGCCCGATCTTGGTGGTGTCGCCCACGCGCAGGTGCTCGACGTCGGACTTGAGCATCTCGGCGAACATCTCAGCCACGCGATCGTAGAGGAAGCGGAAAGCCTTGTCGGACTCGTAGCGCGAGAGCGCCGACCGCGCGAGCTGCGCCTCCTCCTGGCGCTTCGTCTACTTGGCAGCCTGAAACTCGCGGTCGCTGCGCCGGCGCTTCATGCCGTGGCGGTGTACGTTGATCTGCTGATCGCGACGGTCGCCGTCTTCGCCCTGCTTGCGGTCGCCGTGGAGTAGGCGGTAGAGGATCTCGGGCAGGTCCTTGAGGCAACCGAACCTGGCTAAGTTGGCCAGGTTCCCGGCGAGCGTCTTGGGATGGCGCGGAGGTGGCAGACGAGCCTAAGCGCGGCGCACGTGTCCCGGGACCAGGCGACGTCGATGAGTGCCGCCACGTCAGCGGCCGAGGTGACGCCAGGAACGATCTGGAAGAAGAAGTCGACGCACGGGTCGCCGGACGAGGCGTAGGCCAGCGCACGGCCAGACCGCGACGCCTCCTTGGCCACCCCGCCACGGATGAGCCGTACGGCGCCTCGCGGGTGGACCGTGAATCTGCAGCAGCAGCAGCGATGTTGGTATTGAGGGCGGCCACGGGAGGGCCGAGGAACGCTGTGCAGGTAGGCGGAGCCATGGCGGAGGCGGCGCTGGAGGTGTTCTGGGTTCGTGACTAAGGCTTTGTTCAGTTTTTCTCCAAAAGTTTACACCCTATTCTATCCTATCGCCTATCGAACATTTGATATATACATGGAGTATTAAATATAGACTAAAAAATAATTAATTGCACAGTTTACGACTAATTTACGAGACGAATCTTTTAAGCCTAATTAGTCTATAATTTGACAATGCGGTGCTACAGTAACATATGTGCTAATGACAGATTAATTAGCTTAATAAATTTATCTCGCGGTTTACTAACGGATTCTATAATTTGGATTCTATAATTTGTTTTTTTATTAGTATCCGACCACCACCACTTGTGACACCCCAAAACTTTACACCCTTAGCCTGTTCGCTGGTTGATTTCTGGGCTGATAAGCTTGACTCGTGCTGGTTCGTTGTGAGAGGAAAAAATTATTGGCTAGCTGATAAGCCCTAGCTGAAACCAACAAACGGACAGGCTGCCTGAATTTAAACCAGGCCTAAGGGAGGTGAGACAGAGATTGGTTTTGCTGGGACGGCCACCAAGATTTTATTGGGGGAGCCTAGGAAGGCGGTGGCGGTTTTGAATCTGAACTATGGCTGCAAACGGTGTGGGTCGGGGTGACCCTTTTGCTGACCCGTCCCGTCGCACCGTGGCAATAATTTAGCAGGGTTATGGTCGAATCGCACCTCTCCTTCCCTTAGCTCCTGTGATCCGGGGTGAACCGTCCCTTAGAGCGAGGCTAATAATATAGTTCGTTGAAAAAAAAGGCTAATAATATAGCTAGCCTGCCGGCTATAAGGATTATTGCAGTCTTTTTCAGCCTAGTTAGCTCTTCACTATTAATACATGGTCTACTTGTCTGTCTCACAAAAATTCTCGATTCTTGTGTCTAAACCGGCTGTAAGCTTACAGTCCGCTTCTCTTCTCTTTTCTTTCCTCTCTCCTCCGTATCAGTATTCAGCCGACTTATAGCATTCTATTATACTTCTCTTATTCAAGCACCCAGAAGGTGCCAACGCTGAGCCGCTAAGAAGGTTCTTGACTACTACCAAATGACTCTCTCCATGCTACCAGTAAAAGTCGAGTGAACCAAAAATTCGAAATTTAATTAACAAGAGTTGAAGAACAAGCGCAGCTTGCATTGGTTACGTTGTTCTTGCTAGCACTAATCATCAATTCATCAGTCGACGACGTTGTCACACTGAAGAGCTTGAACTTGCCAGCATCGAGCGCGAGCTTCGGCACGGACGCCACGGCGCCGATGACGCCGACGCCGGTGAAGTCAAGGCCTCGTCTAGTTTCTCCGTCTAAAGTTTAGTTTTATCACATCAAATGTTTGACATATGTATGAAGTATTAAATATAGATTACAAAAATAAATAATTACACATATTGCGACTACTTTGTGAGATGAATTTTTTAAGACTAATTAATCCATGATTTGATAATGTGGTGCTACAGTAACATATGCTAATGACGAAATAATTAAGCTTAATAAATTTATCTCGTAGATTACTGAGGACTTATATAATTTATTTTATTATTATTATTCAAATACTTTCATGTGACACATAAACACGACAAGGCGACCATGATGGCGACGTTGGTCAGGCACACGGGCGAGCGCCTGGGCGGCGCGAGCGTCACGAAAAATTTCAGTACGAGTGACCTTGGTCTGCTCACCTATTACGTGGGAATACAGGTAGATCAGGAGAGGGAGACAACTTTGTGTCAGAGCTCCTACGCTCTGAAGATTCTTGAGCAGGGTCTTGTTTAGATCACCTCTAAATTCTAAGTTTTTTCACTCCTTTTCTATCACATTAATTTTTAGATACATGCATGGAGTATTAAATGTAGGTAAAAAAATTAACTAATTGTACAGTTTGGTTGTAAATCACGAGACGAATCTTTTGAGCCTAGTTAGTCCATGATCGAATAAAGTTTGTCAAATACAAACGAAACATGCTACAGTGTCCAGATTGTAAAAAATTACCATCTAAACAAGGCCCACGCAGGAATACATGGGTGTAACCCTTGTCATGTTCCTATGGATAACAAGTTAAAACTGAGCAAAGAAGACAAGTCTCCTCCAGTGGATGCAACAAAATACAGGAATGTGATTGGGAGCTTGAGATATTTGGTGAACACAAGACTAGATATTGCCTACTCAGTAGGTATTGTGAGTAGATACATGGAGACAACAAGGATGAGTCACTGGGCAGTTCAGTAGCAGAGCCAGAAATTATATACAAGGAGGTCGGTCGAAGAACTTCAAAATATGAGAATTAAGTGTAGTTTATATGTTTAGATTTTTGTCTCAGGGTTATGCTCTTATTTTTCTAGATTTATTCTAGTATTTAACCATGCTCGCTATTCTTCACATAGTAGACGACCATGTATATTGTCTGTGGCGCGCAAGTGATGACTTATGAATATTGAAATATATCGGCTTAGTATTTTGGAAGTGCTCATACCCATGGTAGGTGATCGTGTCTGTCCATAACGAGGCACATATAAATACTCAGGAATCTTGAAGTCTATTAGCTTAGTATTTTGAAAGTGCTCATAGTAAGGTAGGATGCATGTTTTATCACATGAGTGTGCGTACGTGCATGTATGTACGTGAGGGTCCACATTTATACTGTGATTCAAAATAAAAAGGGATGGTCACCGAATTGTTATTGCTAGTTAAATACACGTTCAATAAAACATGAAGTATAATAAAATAAGTATTTTAATAAACCAAAAAATTAGTAGATATATCATAATATGGTAGGCAAACAATTTTTTAGATAAATCAAAATATTTTAATTATATTATGTGTAATTTTGTTGTGTAAAAGATATCAGTAAACATTATAACAAGATTTTCTTTATTATACTCTTTTAATATAAACATAGACTATTTACTACATATATTATATATATATATAATTATATTGTTAGGGGGGCCATGGCCCCCTTGGCCCCGCCAGTGACTGGGCTGCAGTTAAGGAGATACTTTGGTATCTACGCGAGCCTGTTCGCTTGAACTTATCAGCTGGCTTATCAGCTAGAATATACAGTATTTTTCTCTCACAATAAATCAGCTTCAGCCGGCTTTAATACCAGCCGAGCAGACCCGGATGCAGGTATACAAAATCTGGTGACAGTGATTTCGCTGGCGACATAGATGACAGGAAGAGTACTAGTGGCTCGGTGTTCTTTATTGGTATGAATTTGGTCATGTGGGTGTCACAGAAACAAAGAGTAGTTGCTCTATCATCATGTGAGGCTGAGTACATAGCAAGTGCAAATGCAGCTTGTCAAGGAATTTGGCTCAGTCGTCTGTTGGGTGAACTGCTCGGCATTCAGGCTCCAAAGTTAGTCTCCTGGTTGACAAGTCTACCATAGCCTTGAGTAAAAATCCAGTTCATCGTGAACGAAGCAAGCACATAGATACAAAGGTATCATTTTGTTAGAGAATGTGTTGATAATGGCGGCATTGACATCGACCATGTGAGCACTCAGAACCAGTTAGCTGATATCCTGACAAAAGCACTCGGTAAAGTCAGGTTCATCGAGCTGAGGCAGCAGCTAGGAGTCATAGATGTGCAGCGGGACTAGAGCATCTCCAATAGTACCATATTTTCCTTCTTAATTCTTGGTTTTTGGCAAGATGAGAAAAGATCCTTCTCCAACAACTCTTAATCCTTCCTCATAAAATTTACCTACTTGGGAAATCCTTTCTGTCGCGCGTAACTTTGCGCGGATACAAGCATATTCATCGGTCAATTAAAGGTGGAAGGGCGAAAAAAAAGATAGTATGAAAGGGTTCCAGACGCAAATGTATAAGAGAGAAAGAATATATAAAATTGGTTAAAATAATTTAGAAATAGTATAAGATTCTGATGTAAAATTGTCTTTTATATTTTAAAAATGAATTATTGAAAATTATCGAAGATGGCCTTTTTTTCTTCTCCTAATATATTTTTAGGAGTCGAAAAACATGGACTTTTTGGAAGAAAAAATTATGATACACTTGCAGCATGTCCAACAGAATATGTATCTCACATCTCACTCGATACCGTTAAATTTGACCGCATCTGAAAAACGCAGTCCAACAGCTTCGTCATCTCCCTCTCTAAAATAGCTCGTACAGTCGTACGCTGTCCCGCCAATGTCGCTCGGCAGAATAGACGAGCCGGCCTCGCTCGCCATCCGGGGTGGCCCGGCGTTTCCCGCGTGGGCCTCGCCCTTTCCGTGCTCGCTCCTTCTCCTTCTGCCTCGACGAGGATTAGAATGTCGCCTACCGATCCTGACGGCGACGCGCGTCCCTCACCGGAGCCCAGAGGGAGTGGAGGACGTATACGGCCTTGTCCATGACCACCATGCCGCACTCTGGGTTGGCCATGAAGTCCAGCTGCAGGGGCCGCACAGCTCCGGCCTCCATGGCGCGTTGCCGGTTCTCTCGTGCGTCGCTGCAGAGCGACCGACCACCGCACCTTTTCCCCGCGTACGTTTTCTCCTTCGCGCGGTCCCTCGCCCAGATCTAAATACTACGCCGCGGCCAGCCGGCCACATCATCGTCCTTGTCCTTCGAACGTGCGGAGGCAGAGCGAGCACAGCTCCTCAGTGTGTGCGCTACCGCCGGACGACGCCTCGTCGCCGGTAGCCGATGCGGCTGGCGCGGCATGGGCGGCTTCTGGTGTCCGTCCTGTGCCCCTCGAGCGCCTGGTACGACGCGTACATCTTGCTGCACACAGAGCACTCGTAGTCTCGTAACCGTACTGGCTCGCTTTGGCCGCTATAACCGCGTTCGCTCTCCTGAAGAACCTGAAGAAGCATTACCGGATGCAGACCACAGACCATGTTCCTGCTTCAATCCTTGCCTTGGTCTTCTTGAGATTAATCTAGAAGCAGTAGGTGCACACGATCAAGAATCCCTAGATGAACCTGTATAGCACTGAGCTGCAAACATGGCCAGGCCAAGCCCAACAGCCCAAGCGACGAACAGCAAGACGCTGCACGGTGACTAGCCGTAGCCGGTGCCCAAGGTGCTGATATGGGTTCAAAAAAATAGCTAGCCTGATTTAGAGATTCTGCTGCGGACGGTACATGTTTTGAGAGTCTAAATAGTTTTAGAGAGCCAATTTAGAGATCAAAATTTACATATACTCTTGGAGTTGCTCTTAGGGGGTGAAATGTTAGTTAATCCCGTGCACAAGATGCATAGTCTTTTCCTGTTTTAGATAGTGCATGTTCTCCCTTGATTCAATCTAGCTAGTTGCATGTGTGTGAGTGGTGTAGAAGCGGAGAAGCCAGAATTCACGGTGCGGCCAGGGACCTCGTCACCACGCGCGCAGGAAACGTTCCAGTGCCTCAGGCGGGCACGACTCAGCGTGAGCGGGCATGGCGGGGGGGTCTCGGATCTTCGGATCGATCGTGTAAACACCATGAATAAAAGGCAAGAACGATAACCAGAAAAGTCACAACATTGGCGGCGCAAGACTGTGTCTCTGTGTTCCTCGTGTTCGCGTGCGTGCGTGCGTGAACGACGTCCTGCGCGTTCGCGATCTTGTTGCCGATCATCGTCGAGCTGCAACTCCGGCAGCCAGCCGGCGCCAACAGAAGCTGCCAACGCTGAGCCGCTAGAAGGTTCTTGACTAGTACCAAATGACTCTCTCCATATATGCTACCAGTAAAAGTCGAATGAACCAAAAATTCGAAATTTAATTAACAAGAGTTGAAGAACAAGCGCAGCTTGCATTGGTTACGTTGTTCTTGCTAGCACTAATCATCTATCATCAGTCCACGACGTTGTCACACTGAAGAGCTTGAACTTGCCAGCGTCGAGCCCGAGCTTCGGCACGGACGCCACGGCGCCGATGACGCCGACGCCGGTGAAGTTAGGACGACCATGATGGCGACGACGTTGGTCAGGCACACGGGCGAGCGTCTGCTGGGCGGCGCGAGCGTCACGTTGCACATGTCTACATGAAGACGGGGAGGACGAAGTCGAGCGGGATTAATCCCACGGCGCCCACCACGCCAACGCGTCGCCGAAGAAGGGCAACGCCGCGGCCACGAGGGAGCGCGCACGCCGCGACGTACGCCGTGCGCAGCGCGACCCGGGGGCCGGGGCATCAGGTTCCGGCGCGAGAACCGGCTCCGCGCCGTGTCCGCCGAGCTCTGCTCCATGATCTCGTACGCCACAACGCGATGGCGAGGAGCCGGAGGAGGACGAGGACGACGGCGAAGCCCAGCCCAGCAGCCACTTGGGCGCCAGGGACGGGCCCGCGTCCGGCATCAGGCTCTGCAGCACGTTGGACGTCAGTGCAGCGGCGTCGGCGGATCATTAGCGAATTGAGGTTCGGTTCGGGTCCACGCAGGGTCGATGGCCTCGTGACCGACTATCCTTCCTACGGGTCTGGTGCGGGCCACGTCGTACGGCGCAAGGAAACGCGCCGCCGTCCGGTTCTATATAGCAGAGCCATCGCCGGCGCAGCGCGTGCGCGAGCTCGTCACCGTTGCGTGGGCGCACGACCCGCTCAAGCTCGTCGCGAACCTCCGCGGCGTGCGCGGCACGGGCAAGTCCGACAGGGAGGGCTTCTACGCCGCCGCGCTCTGGATGCACGAGCGCCATCCCAAGACGCTCGCCTGTAACCTCCCCGCGCTCGCCGAGTTCGGCTACCTCAAGGACTTCCCCGATCTGCTCTACCGCCTCATCCACGGCGCCGACACGCGCAAGCTCTACATGGCCAAGGCGGAAACCCAGAAGATCAGACGCAAGGTCGCGGAGGTCCGCGCCGCCAGGCTGGCCGGAAAGAAGCGCACGCACGGCCAAACCGTTGAGCGAAGCAGCGAGTCGGGAGCCGTGGTTCCTGCGGCGGCGGCGCCTATGGAGACAGAGGAGGCGGCCGTGGAGAAGAAACCCGAGGCGACGGATGTGGCGGCCCCGAAGGAGATCCCCATGACGAAGGAGGTGCGGAAGGCGGCCATGCTCGCCGTGCAATCGCTGGAGACGTACTACGGCAATGGCGCCTACCGCTTCCTCTTGGACTGCGTCGCCCAGTTCTTCGCCGACCTCCTCGCCTCCGACCTCGAGCAGCTAGCACCCGGTGGCAGGAAGACGAAGATCGGGCTCGCCGCCAAGTGGTGCCCCACGCCGGGATCGTCGTTCGACCGGACGACGCTGCTCTGCGAGGCCATGGCGCGCCGCCTCTTCCCGCGCGACTCCAGCCCCGACTACTCTGACCTGTCAGAGGAGCACTACGCCTACCAGGTGCTCCACCGTCTCCGCCGCGAGGTGCTGGTGCCGTTGCGGAAGGTCCTGGAGCTCCCGTAGGTGTACATGAGCGCCCAGCGGTGGTCCGAGCTGCCCTACACCCGCGTGGCGTCGGTGGCCATGAGGCGCTACAAGGCCCTGTTCAAGAAGCACGACGAAGCGCGCTTCGACAAGTACCTCGAGGACGTTGAGGCTGGCAAGGCCAAGATCGCGGCTGGCACGCTCCTGCCCCACGAGATCGCCGCCGCTGCGTTTCGTGGCCAGGCCGACGACGTGTCGGAGCTGCAGTGGCGCCGCATGGCCGTCTGCAAGAAGGGGTCTCTGAGCAACTGCATCGCCGTCTGCGACGTTTCTGGAAGCATGAACGGCACGCCGATGGAGGTGTGCGTGGCGCTGGGTCTGCTCATCTCTGAGCTCAGCGAGAAGCCATGGGCGGGCAGGGTGATCACGTTCAGCATGATTCCCCAGATCCACAAGATTGAGGGCAAGACCCTCGTCGAGAAGATGAGCTTCATCGAGCGCATGCAGGGGAACGTGAACACCAACTTCCAGGCGGTCTTCGACCGCATCCTACGCACGGCGGTGGACATGGAGTTTGACCAGGCGTCTGCTAGTCCTTGGGAGACGGACTACCAGGCCATCTGCCGCAAGTTCAATGACGCCGGGTACGGCGACGCGGTGCCTCAGATCGTGTTCTGGAACCTGAGGGACTCAAAGTCGACGCCAGTGACGTCAACGCAGCCCGGAGTCGCGATGGTGAGCGGCTTCTCCAAGAACTTGGTCAAGCTTTTCCTGGAGAACGATGGCGTGGTGAACTCGGAGGCCGTCATGAAGGCAGCCATCGCCGGTGAGGAGTACCAGAAGCTTGCTGTGTTTGATTGATCGGTTAGGGGGTCATTAGTTAGGAGTTAAGGGCGTAAGTGGCTGATGCATATCTGAATTCTGCGCTCAACCGTTTGTAATCTTTTTTTAGGGGAATCAACCGTTTGTAATCTGACATGCTGGAACATGGATAGATGCTTAAGGCTTGTTTGGCACAGCTCAGCTTCGTTAGTAACGCTGTTTTTTTTTTAGAAAACAGCTTCATGAACAACTTTCAGGTAGAAGCTAAGCTGTTTTGGAAAAATTGTTTGACAAAACAGCTTCACCAATAACTTCATGCATGGATGGGAGAAAGAAATGAAGGAAAGAGCTAAGCTACTTTTTTTTTTAGCTTCATCTCAACTCATGTCTTTACGAGAGGGAGAGAAAAATAACTTTATAGGTTAAGCTGTTTTAGAAATAAGTGTTTGGAAAATAAAACAGCTCTGTACCAAACAAGCCCATATTAGGATTGATTTATGAAATTTGTGTGCTCATAGAACAATAGCTCCATGCGCTAGATGATTCATTTTTTTTTCTTGAACAGGCAAGAAAGCTGCACATCATTTCATTAATAATAGAAAAAAGTACAAAGAAGGAAAAAGAACCCCCCCCCAAAAGATACGCTAGACTAGAGCAACTAGCCTTCCACAACTAACAAAACTTTGACTCTGGGACACAAGGCCAAAGGAACTCTAGTCTAGCACAGGCAAAGCGATAAAGAGTACCAACAAGGGGTGGGGGAATTAACCCATCACAAGCTATTATTAAAAAACCCATAACAAGCGACCCAGACAACAGCTCCTGGAGTCTTTTTGCACAAGCAGAGCACCATAGGATGCATTTGTTTGTGATTGTCTGAAATAAAATTGTGATGCTTGGACTTGCACCATTAAAGACACACTCATTCCTGTGCTTCCAAATTTCCCAGGTCGCCAGGGAAATTAGAGTATTAAGCCCTTTTTTCATCTCCTTAGGTACGTCATTGATTGCCCGGTACCACCAACTTGAAAATTGGCTAGTAGAAACTGGGATGATGGAGCTCAACCCCAACCTCTGAAGAATAGTAAACCAGACCTGTCTAGAGAAGATGCAACAGATTAAGAAATGCTGGATGGATACTCCTGTAACAGAACCGACCAAATCATAAGAACGTAAGTACAAAAACAATCACCGAAGCGATCAAATTCCTGTACTTAAGCTCCCATAATCCCGGTAGTCCGGAAATCACGAAGGATTTCAACCAACTCTCGACATACAAACCAAGACCGTAGTGATTCAACACAACACATCATTTATTACAACATTTCACAAGTAGCATTCGGATTACATTCATCAGAGTTCAAATAAAATATTACAAACCAAGTTCAAATCTACTGAAGCAACATAGTTTAGTACATAACTTTATAGTTTCAAATACATTGCCATATCTGAGTCATGTCCCACAAAAGCATCATCAGGTACGAGAACTAGGAGAGACCGTGCCCAACGGTCTAGTCTTTATCCACACCCGGGAGAAGGCAATACTTGCAACAACCAAAGTAGAACTGATCATCTGCAACAGGTGGGAGATAAACCCTGAGTACGAGAAGGTGCTCAGCTAGACTTACCCGACAAAACCAGAAATAAAAGACACAAAGGATCATGCAAGGCTTATGAGGTGGGCTAGCTTGACACAGTTGCATAAAAGAGCTTATGAATATAGGAACCAATTTAAACTTAACATTAAGCTTATCATCATTTACCTATCCACTAGATTAGCACCTGTACTAGAGCACTAACTTATTAGGAGCAAACAATATTAACCATAGAAGGTATAATAAGGCTGTCATCATCATATCATCATTTCTGAACCATTAGGTTATTTAGTGTATCTACTTTGGAGATAAGCCCGTCAAGTTCTCACTAACCGGGAGAGACGGCGACTCGAATCGAATTACAACTCAGCTGAGGGGGTATTCCTAACTCTCACCCTGGCATGCTTAGCCAGGGTAGCTGTGGGTCACCTTTGGAACAACTCAGGAACCAAATTTACGGGTTCGATCAGCGCCAGCACTCTCAGGGATTACCCTTCTGCTAGGACGATCAGGACTTTTAAATCACCTGCCCTTGGACTCACGCCTACGGCTCCCTTCCGAGGCGCACTTTATACTTATCGACTCCCTGTCGATGCGGGACCCATAAGGTTCCCCACGGTGAAGAGAGAAGAAGACTTAGTCCAAATAGGATTCTCCTCATGTAATCCTACTAGGACTAGTACACGTAATCCTACTAGGATCTCTACTTTGTAACCGACTAGGACTCCCGCCTCTCCTGGACTATATAAAGGAGGCAGGGTCCCTAGATCGGCAGAACCTAGCTAACACACTGTTGACACAAAATGTGACGCCTTGTACACACACACACAACAAGCCGGGCGTAGCTTCAATCGGTGCCCGGGTGCTTCGTGATCCGGGAATGCCGGTCGGTTTGACTCGAAAAAAACCGACAAGGGATAAAACAGTTAAATGTCAAACCGGAACATGTCGGGTGAGACCGTATAGCCCGTATATACGCCCTCGGAAGCCACTTACAACGACATACACTATAGGAAGTCGTCTCATCAACAAGTTTATAAATCATTCGACTAATCGTAAGATGGACATACGTAAAGATCTGATTGCCGAATGCATATGCATGGAAGACATGTTTGAACAAGTGAAATTGACTACGCGTTAATGCATATCCAAGCTCAAAGAATCCAAATTTTGAGTTGGGGTCCATGAAGAAGGAACGTGTAGATAAACATGATTAAGCCAATCTAAAACTCAAATCGCACGCATACGACACCTAGTTTCGTCAAAAACTTAAACGTGATTAACATACATGAACCCACAACATGTGACAATCTAGATTAAAATAATTTGGCCATTACGAGCATGTTATCTATTTGCAAAGGTATTATGAAAGTAATGATCATTGAAGCTCGAATAAAACCATAGAAGAAGGCCGAACAATATCAATCTAGATTGGGCAAAAGTGTGTTACAAATATATAAAATATTTAAAACATGCAACACAGGATAACTTGATGAATCTATTTAGATTTTGCCGTAATCTAATAGAGCCGATAACTATCTTGCTTCCACTAAGCATATTGAGCAAACGCATGCCGCACGGTATCTACTCATAAACAAAGTATAAGCGAAGACTTCTTGATTGTCAAGCAAAGATCCGCCGCACGATCATTGAAAACAAACAAGACTACTTGCATCACGTTTAAATCCACCGCATGATACTAAACATGATAACAAGGTTGTCGGAACTTACGGAGGTCGACGGATCGATGACTCCTCTCGAAGAACTCGACGACACGACAAAAGGACTCGAAAGTTGGGCACGGGGCGGTTGTATTGATTTGGTTGTGAACGCCTATTACAATGGTCGAGGGTCAATATTTATACCCTAGACGAAACACGAGTCCTAAAAGACTACGATTTACAAAGGAACTCTTTAAATAAACTTGGAAACTACGATTCCTTGCCCCAAACTCGTCGAGTCCTTTATTATTACAACTTTCATCTTCTCGATCGGCTTTGCTTGCCATCTTCGCTTTCCGAATGGAGTTACCGCCTTCGAAATAACCGACCGCACAAGCATTTAGCCGACCGCTTGCGTTATTTGCGAACACTCTTCTTCCTGCATGTGGGTCCACCTGTCATCTTCCGAAATTGACCAAAATCCAAGTGTTAACACATGCCCCCCTCAATTTCGGGATAAAAGTTGTTTTATTCTCGAAATTGACCACAAGCTCTTTCATCCTCCTAGGTCATCACCATTCAAAACCGCAATTACCGCCTAAAATTTCAATCTTTCAAGCAACTTGAACCTCCTCTAAATCTTCAATGGCGACCGGATGAAATCCCGAGGTAAACTTTATTTATATTCGCAACTTTCATCCCATCCTTCCGCTCCTCTTTTGACTTATTCCCTCTCGATTTCAATCATCTTCTAAAGGAGTACAAGAGCCAGATTTTGATCCCTTACGCTGCCAACCCCGACTCCTATTTCCTTGGCCCAATGGGAAACCCTGACCCTTCTGAAATCATTGAGAAGGAAACTCAAAGAATTCCTTTCAAGTCTGGAATTACCTCACCAAACCGATGGCCAAACACGTTCAAGAATTGGCCATTCCCCCAATCACCGGATGGCGAATCGGTACAGGAGAATGTTGGAGAAGAGCAGCAGCCCATTGGGACAACGGACATCGGTCATTGTCCGGAGTTATCTTTAGCGAGACACCGTGAATGATTCCCTTCGATAGCGACTTCTCATTTTTTTGGTCCGACGCTACCAATGCCTTTATCTTCGACCATGGTATTATGACCATCACTCTAGCCGACGATACATGATGACCGGTTTGAATGTGTCATTGCCGGATATCCTTATAAGTACAAGAGCAAGAGTAATCAAAGAGCCGTTAGTTCTGGATGTGGATGGGTCAAACATATTCAGAATTACATGAATGCATCCGCGCCGCTCTCGACAAAGAGTTGAAAGCTTTCATGAATATGTGGCTATCTTGATTCATTTTTTGTGGAAAATCCAATGAACCAACCCCGAATCACATGGTAATGGTGAAGACTTAGCTGCAGCACCCAGATCCCATTAGGCAAATATCTTTTAGGTCCGCTTATCATATGATGCATCGGATCACCCTTCGACAAAGCCAAGGTGGAGAAATTTCTTGTGTGAACGGCCCCGTGGCTAATTCAAATGTGGCTCCAATTATATATGCATCGAGATAACCCCAGTGAGCCTCTTCAACCTAAGCTTCCCTCGCTTAACTATGTTTGGCAAGACAAAGAAAAAGTTAAAGCTTGTCGACTTATGGGGAAGCGGCAGATCTATAAGCATTGATATAGACATTGGTCACCTCTTCAAGCTATTTTTCAAAGGATTCGACAATGTGCTCGGTTTCCTTACAGGAAAATGAAGATCCGACTTTGCCCTCGCAAATTTAGCTATGAAATTGGTTGTTCG